AGATAAAATCAATGTCTATAAATTATACCTTCACTATAACTCTTAGTTTGTAGGTTTTATAAATGATGCTGAAAGGGCGTAATACCACATAGATAGATAGATAAAAAAAGAATCCACTACTAAAAATAACTATCAAACTTCCTAGAGAATCCACGACTGAAAATAACTATCAAACTTCCCAGAGAATCCACTACAGAAAAAAACTATCAAACTTTCGCTAAAAAAAGACATCGATCTTATTTCTCCTTGCTCAGACAATGGTTTAGAGTTTATTTTAAAAGATTTTAAAACAAAGATATTTATTTGTAATTTGATAATTTCATCAATTTTCCAACAGATAGAGTTCTAAAAAAGGAAGAAATTGATTTTTATGTTTTAATGTTTAATAAAATAAAATATTTTAATTCACCTTATACACGTGTTAAGGTCAATAAAAAACTTTATAAAAATAAGAACAGATATGTCTGGGTCTCAAGGGATTATGCTGAATTATTGTGATACAACACACAATTTTTAACATTTACAGGAATTATAAACTTTGAACTCCTTTTCATCATGCTGAAAGGGACATACTTACAAATAATGTTCAAAATTATAAAATCAAAAAATAATACTTTGTAAAATAAATGATGTTTATTCCAGGGTTACCTTTCCCCCCTCGGCGTGTAGGGCACCCCTACCAGACAAGAACTCCGCCTAAAAGGAAGAAACCTAGAACATCATTTTCCCGTTTACAGATCTGTGAACTAGAGAAGAGATTTCATAAACAGGTTATATTTTATTTTTTATTTTTGTTCGTTTTTAAAATTCGTTCTTCCTTATTTATCTGATAAAAGAATATGATTTTAAATGATGACAAAATCTGTCATTGTAGGGGATTACAGGGAGTGTAGAGGATTAAAGGGACTGTAGAGGATTAAAGGGACTGTAGAGGATTAAAGGAACTGTAGAGGATTAAAGGGAGTGAGAGGAGTAAAGAGACTGTAGAGGATTAAAGGAACTGTAGAGGATTAAAGGGACTGTAGAGGATTAAAGGGACTGTAGAGGATTAAAGGGAGTGANACCAAAAAATTGAAATTCATTATACTTCACTTATTGATTTGAATTAACCATTAACAAATTACTTAATCATAATTATCAAAATGAACGTTATTTTCACTTTTATTGGAGATTCTCTAGCGTAATTTTATGTGACCCCTGAAATACAGAGTGCCCAAAAACAACACTAAAAAAACTTGTTATATCAATCTATATAGCTTCAGATTTTTCATCAATCTGATTAAAAAATTGAAATTTTCACAAATAGGTTTTTTATATTTTAATATAATTAAATAATATTATTTTTAAAATTGTTATTTTTTTAATAAAAAAATATATCGCATGTTTTATCTCGGAATCTTTACAGCGTCGGCATAAACTAAATTAAGTTTTACGCTTCAAAATCTATTAGTTACAGTGAACCATATACTTATAGAGCAGATTCACAACAGATACCCTTAAACGATCTAAGATGAAATAAGATATATTTGATTTTCTAGCTGAAAACTCATTATTTTCTTTTGTGCAGTTTCTCCATAAAAGTGATTTACGGATCTATGTTGTAGAGACAATGGAGGAATGTCCAAATTTAACACTTTTAAATAAATAAAAAACAATGATATCCTCCTTATTATTACTAGTTGACGGTTTAAAGCATACCGCTGTGTATCGGATATATATCCCTTCAATAAGGAGTTATCTGAAATTCCGTTTAAATTATCTGAAATGATTCAATAAAAGGTATCTTTTCACCATATTCATATTTCTTAAAAATTAACTATTCCAATAGAACCATGGTGTCTTCTCATTTGGACAAATTACGTTTCTGTGTTTAACTTTTAGACATTTAGAAAAATAGTATTCAGATTTTTTATCTTGAAAAAAATATTTTTATTCGTAAAAATCACAGGAATCATACGAAATTCGGGCATTTTTGTTCTTCAATGCTTTCGAGAATTGCCAATGAAATTGTTTAAATCAAGCACGATATTGATTACTAACTTATTTAATAAACTAATATTATTAAAAAATCAATTTTATCCACAATCTACGTATAAACATGGCTTGTTTTTTGTCTGGTTGTAAGTTCGTTTGTATCCAATAAACGTCAAAACGGCTGAACAGATCGGGCCCAAATTTTATATAGGACCTCACATGACCCCATTAAAGGTTTATGGATGATCGAATTTTCAAAAATTTGCCAAAATTCGAAATTTGAAAATTTTAAGAATCCACGAAATTTTTGTTTGTTTTTTGTATACAAAGAGAAAATATTCACAATTGAATAAGAAGATGGGCTCGAAGCGCCCTAAAAGCTTTGTTGTATAAATTCCTGAAATAGTTGGATTATAAACATGCGTAAATGACACAAACTCAAATTTTCCAATCCCTATATCTGTGCAACCTGTTGGTGTAAACCTTTGAGAAACCTTTGATTAGAAAATCAGAGTTTATGACAAAGACTCGATTCCTTTGCTGATGAAAATGTGCAAAAGTACATTTCCTCACATTCAGGGTGCAGAATTTATGGTTCAAATGACTTATGATATTTGATTAATTGTCAATAAAGCTTTTTCAAAAGATACTCTTGATCAAAACGTGTAAAATTAATTGAATTTTTTTGACGATTTTTCATTAGATTATTTGATTTCGTATCGTTTTCCATTTACCCACTTGTAGATGGGTATGTTATTTTTTTCTCTAATTTATCAACTGAATTTGTAAAAATTGATATTGTTTCTTAGTATTAATATTTATGAAACTAGGCTCTTCTATTTCAACTTTTAATGGTGGCGCGCTTTATCTGTGAGCATCTTCTCTTTGTACAATATAAAAAAAAGAAAAAATAAGTTTACTGATTTCATATTATTTTCAAAATTTTAAAAAATAAAAAACTTTTAAGCACAAATTTTTGAAATTTTGATCATTCATAAACCTTCCCTGGGGTCACGTGAGGTCCCAAACAAAATTTGGGCCGCGATAGGTTCAGCCGTTTTGACGTTTATTGAATACAAACAGACAGACAGTATGTATATAGATATACAGGGTTACCCACAAAGGATGAGACTGTAAAGACGACTTGAAACTCTAAAAATATTACCATAACAAAGTAAAATTTTACGTCTTCTGTTATAAATGTTATCTAAAAATGACTTATTTAATGATTTGGGAAAGAAAGAAACTAGTTTAACAGTTGCAGGGCATCATCAATATAAGGAAACAGATAATATAAATTTCGAACAGTCGTCTCTGAAGTCTCATCCTTTGTGTGTACCACTGTAACTAAAGAATGCTTAAATAAAGAAGTAGTTTAACTAAACACTCCAATATCTTTATTAATTAAATCCGACCTTTGTGAATATATTGAATCTATGTGACAAAAGTTATAGTTTAGTTTAAAAGGGGTCGAGTCCTATTTCCTGAACAGTGAACACCCATCGAGCATTAACCCCCTCTACCCCCTCCCCCTTCTTAGAAGAAGAAATAATAATTGAAGTTGTATCGTGATCTCTCCTATCAATTCAACTTGAAATAAGATAAACAAAAAGAGTTTTGAATCATGCAACCACCCTTCCCTCCAGCCAATACTGGACTCTCATTGGTTGAAACCGAAATCCAATCTTCTTATTGGTCGAAAGGGTTAACGAAGAAATGTGGGCAATCATTGGAGGACCGTAGATATTGTTGAAAAATGTTGAAATTATGAATTTCATGATTTAATATAATTATATGAAATAGAAGAAAGTTTTCTTCTTGAACGAAGGGTATTGAAGTTTAATATGCCAAGAGGGCCTTGCGTGCAAATTTTCGGGTTAAAATTCAATAATTTTATTGGCTGATTTTTAACCTGGTAGACAATGGTTTGTTTTATTTGGATAGATGTATGAAATCATGCCATAATAATGTAGGGAAAAAAATATAATTATTGTAACGTTGGATCCATAAAACCGTCTTATTTCGAAAATTTAGCTAGAGTAAGTAGCACATTTCTGGGTATCAAAATCGGACTGTATTTATTAATAAAATTAAATAATTCACAAAATTCAAATTTCTTTTAAGGAGCTAAACACTCGCCACAAATATTCAAATCTCTATTTCTCTGCAACTTGATGGTGTAAACCTTTCATGTTTTAAACTTAAACGAGTTAATCTTACAGAATGCATAGTTTTAAATCTTATAGATTTACGAACTCAGGTTTAGAGATTAGAAAATTGTAATTTGCAGCGAGCGTTTAGTTCTTTTGGTAGTCTTTTCTTTTTAATAAAATTTAGTTTCCATGTTTAATTATGAATATCTATTTAGGTTTTCTTCAGTAACTTTCTTCAATTTGATTAAATAAAACATGATTTTATAATTTATCATAGTTTTCACAGATAATTAGGGTTATTACATATTACAACGATATTGGGATATTTCACATCATATTATTTATTAACCATGAATGTGTGAAAAATACATGGTTCTGTTAAAAGATTGTGGTCAAATTATTCTTGTTTATTGGGAAACTTGAGTTAATATATGTTTATATATAACAATTATGATACGTATATTGATAAAGAAAAACAAAACTATTAAAAATTAAGATTACATTAATAACAGTAGTAATAATAATGTTAAAAACACATTGAAAGTTAATACCGCCGTTTACCCGCGCTTGGTAGTTAAAGTGCCGGTGGAATTTCAAAAACTATAATGTAAATAATAATATTGATAATGAGCATAGTGATAATCATACTAATAATACTATTACTGCTGATAATAATAATATTGATAACATTACTAATAATAATGATTAGTTGAGAGATTAAATCTAACGTTTTAATCGACTAAAATTGTATAATTTAAACCTAGAGTTTTAATTCAAAATTTAAGATTTAATCGACTTTCTCTCAAACCACAAAAACTTTAAAGTTCATTTTGCACTTTTGGAAAAAAAATTTGAAAATTTTAAGAAAAAAATGCTCTATCAGGTTAGGCACAGTATGGGTTCCAGCTTATTGCAGTAAATCCCTACCGTTCAAATCTCTGAGAGGGTTTCGGAGAAAATAATTAGACGCGGCAAAACAACATGTCTGTTCTTTGTGAAGCAACAACCACAAGGAATGTTTTTATGCATCGAATTTTTTAATCTAAAATCTATAAAACTGCGGAATAGCAAAACGACATTTTAGGCGACATCTTGTGTGTATTTGATGTTGTAAATAAGAAAAAACCATCAGTAACTGGAATATCATCTTTATTAGAGAAATAAGCCAATAAATGTAAACTGCGCAATTGTTGCGTTTTATGATCATTAGATTATTTAAATTCATAACTTGAGTCTAACAGTCGTCTTCCTATTCCACGATGTTGTGGTTCCCACTGCACGATGTTAAAAAAATGTTTTACGTTGTATATTTTTATTATTAAATAATCGTATGTAATAAAAAATTATTATCAGTGAAAAAACTGGCGAAAAGAAAGGTTTTTCATTTTCAATTTCGAATATTCTGGAAAGTAAGGTAAGCTATATATTTTTATCAAAATAATGAGATATTTTTAAGAGACATTCAATCAATTCAAAAGGTTAATGTGAGGGACAGTGAGCGTAATTTCAAGTGAATCTCCATGCATAGATATGGCAATGCCCGATTTACAACGGTTACCTGAAATTTCGCGCAAAATAAATTATTTTGCACAATTATCAATTTAACGCCAAAAGAAGAAAAAATATTGCGGGCATTTCTGAAGTGCAAAAACTGCGTCGTCATCCAGTAGATTTAAAGGTTAATGCTTTTCTGAAATGCCATGCTTAGATTTATTAATTGAATGGTAAATTGCCATTCTTTAAATCTAAAATTAACAAAATAACTGGGAAGGAACTGTAAACTTCATTCCACGTGACCCAATTCAAAGGGTAAAATGCCACTTGACAAAACTCACAACGAGTAAGAATGAGGTAGATATCGTCGTTTAAGGAAATCTTCCTCACCGTTCCTCAGACAAATGTTCAAAGGGTGAAATGTATAATTAACTATCTAAATGAAGGATCTCCTAAAATGATCTTAACAAACAATCCTTTTTTATGGTGTTTTCAATCCTTCTCTTGAGTTTCTCGCAAAGGAATTGAGTTTTTGTCACAAACTCTGATTTTATTATTCCTTTATCTTTGCAGCCCATTGTCAAAAAGCTTTGATATTTTAAATTATTAATTCTAAAAGACTAAATAATCTATGTTTGATATATCAAAACTTTACTCCATCAGGTTACAAATATATAAGGATTAGAGAAAATTTGAGTTTGTGGCAAAAAATTACTTTAAAGCCTAATTTCATGTGAACCTCCAAGCAAAGATAGCAAAGCCCAATTTACAACAGTACCCTTGAAACCTTAATCTGATAAAATATGTAGAAGAAAGCGTTTTTTTTTCGACTCAAAAAGCGTTTATTTCTGTGAATTTCTTAATTGTTTCTTGTCAGCAAGAATTAAGCAAGTCACTTTAGCAGAGAAACCACAAATGAGAATAAACAGTTTAAATAAACTAAAAAGACAAAACATTAAGAGGACCGTTGTAAATGGAGCAACTCCATCTTTGCCTGGAGGGTCACTTCATAGAAATTACGTTTACAGTCCCTTTAATGCTATGTACAGGTTGAGGAGGAAAGCGAAGATGGCCTGCATAGTGAGGATGATGATGAGGATGACGAGGAGGAGGAGGAGGAGATTAAGGATGAACCTGCAGGGTTTCAAGCTCTCTCAGGAGCAGGAGCACAATATCTTTCATCCCTTAGGTATATTCAAATGATTCATGGATTTATGGAAATTAAGGAAGGAATTTTCTCAACCGGATGGTGGAAACATTTTTAAACTGAGACAATTTGATCTGACAGAATTCATAGTTTGAAATATCCACAACATTTGGTTGCACAGATAAAGGAATTATAAAATCAAAGTTTGTCACTAAGACTCAATTTCGTTAAATTATTCGTAAAATGAAAGAGGTTGGATTTTCTGATTGATGATAATTGGTTTTACAAAATATCTATAGTTATCCATATCTATCCATATCTGGCCATATTTCTTATAATCATATAGGTAACTTGTTCTTGGCAGTCAATGATTTTAAATTGGTATTCAAATATTGCTATATATATATATCTGATAAAATGATATGATTTAAGAGTGAATGAAAGTCAGTAAATCTTTTTAAATCTTAAAGGACCACACTAAAGTGACCGCATTATTTTATTCCTTATTCCTATTCAATTTTTATTATATCTCACTTTCCTGTCCCGGCTGACCACTTTATTGTTCCAACTTCATTTTAACAGTAAGCTCCATGGTAGTAAGCTTAATGCAAAATTAATGTTATAAATGTTAGGGAATTTGATTTGTTACACAAAAATTTCACAAGAATTGAAGTTGATTAATTTGGTGTACTGTCACGCTTTGGCCGTCTATAATCTGTACTGTCTACTGTATGTACAAATTGTACATCAAATGAACCTAAGTTTACAGTGTGATAGAAGTTATATGATAATTTCTTCGTTTTCAGTGATTTACATTTTGGAAACAGACATCCCCTTGGAGCACAAGAAGAAGGGTCCCCTGGTGTTATAAAAGTTCCCCCACATCACCCGGGACAGCCCCTTTCCTTAGACTATCCCGCCCCCTGGTTGTACCGCCCCTTTACTGTTCTACCAGGCTATCTCCCCCTCCCCTCTCCTCTACTTATCAATAGATTTCCAGGTATCACTGGACCATGTGAGTTGAAAATATTATAACTTTTTTGAAAAATGATAATCATATTATCAATAATAAGAATAATAAAAATGATAACAATGATGAAAATAAATAATGATAACAATGATAATAATGATGATAATAATAATNGACTGTAGAGGATTAAAGGAACTGTAGAGGATTAAAGGGAGTGAGAGGAGTAAAGAGACTGTAGAGGATAAAAGGAACTGTAGAGGATTAAAGGGATTGTAGAGGATTAACGGGACTGTAGAGGAGTAAAGGGAGTGTAGAGGAGTAAAACTGATTATTTCTAATTTGGGTTTCTCACAATTTTCACAGAAATAAAACATATAGGAATTTTCGACAGAAATAAACACTTGTAACTCTAGAAAAACGACAATATCTTCGACATTTCGGATCAGATAATGGTTTCCAGGGCACAACAATGTCACTATAAGGAGATCATCCATTTGATGTACTCTCCCGGTTTGCATAACATAGTCTGTAATTGTACTGGACAGCTTGCTGGTACTTAAATTGAACTAGAGTTCACAGTTAGGGTACCGTTGTGAATCGGGCATTGCCATCTTGCATGAAGGGTTACTTGAAATTACGCTTACAGTCCCTTTAAATATTATTTTTTACAAAAATTAACTTTTATATTTGAACGTTTTATAAGTGATATGGCTTATTATTGTTGTTTATTAATCTTATTTTTTATTATTATCATTATCATTAACATCATTATTTTTATCATATTTATTATATTACTTTTAATAGCATTATCAATATCACATTCTTATCACACTGAGTATTTCCGACGTTCACGATGTACTGTCGAAATGTAGTGCCTAAGAACTGAACTTTTCCTTTTATGTTGAGGGAATATCGGGCAAATCCCAAAATCAATCACATTCACGTAGTTAAAGAATAGTTGAAGAGTAAGTAAGTAAGTAATGTAAGATTTATTAGAGATAAATCAAGATCAAAACATAATACATATTATAATATGATTAACGTTCTCATACGAATATAATTAAATATATCATGGGTTGAAGAGTAGGACAATTTTTAAACTAAAAAATGCATATTTTTAGATAAGCCAAACCAAACACCCTATCCTCTCTAGAGAATATTCAGCCTTGGACAGAAAACTAGTGATACTGAAGTGCAATATGTACTCTGTACAGTTATTATATACAGCCTGTACATGCATATTTGACGTGAATTGTACATACAATAGTTTATTCTAGCACATTATTAGACTGTGTGCACAGTTAAGAAACCCCGGGACATATATGAATCAACCCAGCCTATATTTTGGGCATAAAACATGCAGTGGGTCCTCTTCATACTGGGTACACTAGACCGACCGGTACCAGAAAATGAATCTAGGATACGATTACACTAGACCAGTGGGTACTAGTAATGAATGCTTGAACCGGTTCTGTCCATGCACCAATTGTACAGTTGTTGGGACAGATCCAGTGCGATATGCTGTACAATTGTACAACTGAAGATACTAAAGTAAAGACAATAGCTGTACATCTGCATAGTGTACATGCTTTGTTATGCAGGAGCCACACAAATAATTTAAAAACATGAGTAGAAGCATCGTACATCCGAGCTGGGCCAACCTTCGAGATCCTAGTTTAGACTGTACCGTCAATTTACAATTACAAAAGCAGCAGAAGAGTGTGCCCTGCACATGTTCTGCATCCAGTAGTGCTTCAACTATCCACCTATAGAGTAATAAAACGAAGAGGTAGAGCTTAGCTCAAATGTACACAACGATCACTCTATATACAAGTGTGCAGTGTTAGATATGTAAACATATCGTGATGTATTTAACCGACCACTCTATTGGTTAATTAATAGGGAGGTCGGTTGTGTACATCTGAGGTAAGCTTCGTTTTATTACTCTATGTATCCACTTAATCCACCCCATTCTTTAATTGACATTTTAATCAATCAATCAATCAATCAATCAATCAATCAAATAAATTTGATTCGTTTGTAGCGATAATAAGCGATAATTTACCCCATGCTTATTTTTAATACCGGTATTTATACTAATAATAAATTGTTTTCAAATAAATATAATTTCTATGTATCTACAGAGTGAAGTATCAGTATGTAATTCAGGAGCTATTTACTGTATTTTTGTTTATTCTTTTGCGCATCTAAACTTTAAACACCATGCCTATAAAAAAAATCAAATGAATTTATCTTTCTAAATGGAGTCATTCATAAAAACGGAATTTTTGTTATCAGTCGTTTTTAAAACAATCGTTTATTTGAAGTTGTGTTGTATGACCGACGATCGATAAGCTAACCGTAGCGGCAGAAACGATCACGCACCTGCAATTGACAACAATCGTATATATGATATAATATATATACTTACATACAAATATATTATCCTGGGTTTAGATACATTCTTAAAGAGGCTCAGGCGTCATTTCAAGCAAATTCAAGGATAAATTCATCAAATAGTTCATGCAAAAAGTTTAAAGGCTACTATTGAGAAACGAACATGTAACTTTTTAAATGGAGGGTTACTTGAAACTAGCTCGACAGTCCCTTTTTAAAAACCTGTGATTCAATTTTCGTGAACTTGTTCTTTATTTAAAGAATGTTATTGTAAGATAATTTTTAACATCCTCTGCTGTTTTCTGTTATGATGAACTAACATATAACCCCCGCCCCTCCCCTTCTTCCCCTCCACCCTAATTTTGTAATTAGATAGATTGATAGATAGTCAGTAATTAAATAAATGATAATGGACCTATATCATTAATATATCTCAGGGGCAAGAGAACGCGATCACCGATCGGTTGAGGGGGCTGGGACTCATGTACCCAGCCCGCAGAAATGTGTTGGTAGGTCAACTAAACAAAAGTTAACAAGACGGGCTTGTACGAGAAATCTTTTACAAATTTGTCTTAAAGGGAGTGACCGTCTACGTAAGGTAGATGAACTGAGTATTTTCGCTCAAACTCAGGATTTACAGATCTTTAAAAAGTTTAATATGTCTCAAATGAATCCGAAAGAAGTTTTCCACAACATCTGCATGCAAAAATATCAGAATATCAAATGCCAAATGATTAAAAATCTTTAAATGATCAAAAAACAGTTAGGACAACTATTTTTTTAAAAAACATCATTGATTTTTACAATCAAGTTAATTTTAAAGTTTAAGGTATTCTTAAACATATTTTTATGATAAAACCTCTGTAAAATGCAAACTCTTTCTTTCAGGCAATCTATTTTTTCTTCTTTCTCTTCTCTTATTTTTTCTTCTCTTCTCTTTTCTTTTTTTCTTCTATTTTTTCTCATCTTTTTTTTTCTTCTCTTCTCTGCTCTTTTGTTCTCTTATCTCTTTTCTTTTCTTCCCTTTTCTCTTATAATCCTCTTTGTTTTCTCTTTGTTGTCGACATTTAACCGGTTTTGAGATGAACAATGCAGTACGATACGTTGTTATGGTTTTTCTCTGATTTGTTTACATTTCTAGCTTGTAAACATAATTGAAACGTACTGCGTTTGTGCTCCATAAATAGGCATTTGATCATTTGGCATTTGATATTTTGATATTTTTACCACTGCATACTCAGTTCAACTACCTTACATAGCCGGTCACTCCCTTTAAACAAATTTCGATTTATCAAAATCCACGAAAAAAAATCGATTGTAAAAGCAACAACCAACAATTATTAGTTAAAATCGGAGATGGGTCTAAGCGCCCCATGGAAGCCTGGTTCTTTAAATAAGTCTTTGGTTTAGAGTTTAATAAGAATAAGAATTGTTTGTGTAAAAATAAGAGTAACAACTCGATAAAAGTGGCAACACACGTTAAACTAAAGTATAGATTTAAATCTTTATGTTTTTGGATGAATAAATTATACATCTACTACTACTGAAGACACTAATATCAATAAGAACAAAAATGTTTGGAATTTCTAATTTCTAACCAGATAACTAAAACTACACTATATCTTTGCAACCCATCGGGTACTGAGCCCCCCCCCCACAGGATTTTTTTAAGCCCCCCCCCTTGAACAAATTAGTGAATACGCCCCTGCTTATAATTAGAGCTAAAATGATTAAAAAGGGGCGATAAATTGGGTGCAAAATACCCAATTTATGTTTATTTGGTCGAGTTATTCATAGTTAGTAAATTGTTTTAATTCTTATAACCGGCCCTGTCACCATAGAGAATAGAATGTATATATATATTCTATTCTCTATGCCTGTCACACTCAAATCTAGATGTGTACAAACTCTGATTTTCTAATCTCTATATCTTTGCAACCCAATATCGTAGACCTTAGATATTTAAAATTCTGTTTGAATAAATAATTCAAGTTTAATATTTAAAAGATTTACACAATCAGATTGCAAAAATATAAGATTAAAACATTTTGAGTTTGTGTCACGTCAAAGACTAAATTCCTTTGATATCCTCCTTTAGTGTATTTAGTCTGGCTTAGTTTGTGAACCAAGCTTTGAATTAAGGTTTGAAATACAAAATATGACACCGATTAATCAAGTCAATAAATATAATTATATTCCTCACCCCTTCATAATCTACCCTCCTCATCCTATTGTTTCATCCTGCCGCCGACACGACATCCGCCGCCAGCCAGAACCAATCAGAATCCGTTTCATATTCAGGCAGCCAATCAGGGCCAAGAAATTTGAATAATGTAGTTTTTTGGGGTCATTATCCCAGTGAGAGTAAAATTATCTCTTAAATTACATATTATATCCAGTGTATAAGAGAGGGATAATAAATGCGGGCACTATATTATATCCAGTGTATAAGAGAGGGATAATACATGCGGGCACTATATTATATCCAGTGTATAAGAGAGGGATAATACATGCGGGCACTATATTATATCCAGTGTATAAGAGAGGGATAATAAATGCGGGCACTATATTAACCCCACACTGTATATTTATCGTTCATGTTTTAGATTGAACCACACACACACAAAGAGAATAGAATATATGTTAGAGTGGAATTTACTAGGAAAAA